TCCTCTCACGATCTATCGAAACCATCCAGACGACATGACGAGCCAACTCCGAAAACCTCGACTCATACTGTGACACAGTCATATCTCCCTATCTCAACCACTCAAACTGTCTACGCAGCTCCTCTCTGCGAGACTACGGTACATACTTCTCCAAGAAGAGAACGGAGAACTCATGCCAAGTGAGGGGCGCTGCTCCCATAGGCCTACGCCTCTCATATGCCTCCTACCAAGTGAAGGCAGCCTCAGAAAACTGAAAGGTAGTAAATGCCACACCACTAGACTCAAGAATCCCTGATGTACGGAGCATCCGCTGACACTTATCTAGAAAACCCTGGGCATCCTCGCCCTCAGCACCACTGAACAACAGAGGCTACCAAACCTCTCAAGACGATGCTGCTCATCATCCAGCATAACTGGCACAACAAACTCCTGAGCTGGTGCAACCGGCTGGGCTAGAGGTGCCCCCGACGTCTGAAGTCCCTGCACTACCTGCTTAGGTGTGCGAGAAGCGGGGGTCTGATTGCCTCCCCTGTCCTGTGAAGTAATTGCTATTATGGTGGCTGAAACTGCCTGAGCCAGGCTAGTACAAACTGATAAGATTTGTGTCAAGGCCTCCTGAAGAACCGGAATCACAATGGGCACAACTGGTGCCTGAACTGGTGCTGTTGGAGCATCCATAGCTGGAGCCAGATCCGGAGTTAGGGCAGCTGGTGGATCTACAGGTGCTTCCCTCGCTGCTCTACCTCTGCCACGACCACAACAGCGGCCACGGCCTTTCGTGGTCTCAACTGGTGGTCGTCCACCTCGTCCGGTAGCTCGCGTCCTCACCATCTGTGAGAAAATGGAATAACAGACGTTTAGTACTCGGACTAACAAGTTCGCATGACAAGAGTTTCAAGAATATGAAGTTTTTCCTAAAGGTTCTACAGCCTCTCGAGGATAAATACAGACATCTCTGTGCCGATCCGCAAGACTCTACTAAACCTGCTCATGACTCGTGAGACCTACGTAACCTAGGCTCTGATACCAACTAGTCACAACCCTAACCCCGAATCCGGTCGTGATGGTGCCTCTCGTGAAGGGAAGGCCAGCCAAACCAAAAGAGAACACCTTATTTAGACAATTAAATACCATAAATAGTTCTAAAACATGATATAATAGCCATCATTTGTGGAAATAACGATGACAGCAGTAGAAACCATCCCGACACAGCCCAAACCGGGGTGTTACAAGTCATGAGCAACTAATAAATCCGGATACCAGTCTACTAGATACGAAATTTGATACAGAAGTTCAAGAACATAAAAATAGCAAGATAAGGGAGGCATGGGGGCTGCGGACGCCAACAGCTACCTCGTAGTCTCCGAAAAACACTGCCTGGACTGGGAGGATCAGCACTCAGGAACGGACTCTGCGATGCCTGAATCTACACACACGGTACAGGGAGTAATGTAAGTACTCCGACTCAGTGAGTAATAAATATAAATAATGGCTAAAAGCAAGAAAAACACGTAAAGGCACAAAGCAATTCTATATCAAGCAGTAAAATCACTTAAAGCAGTAAATCCATGAAGAAGTCAAATGAAATTCCTTTAAACCAAGTAAAATAGGTAATTTAGCAGGTAAATAACAAGTAGAAATCCGCCTCTCGGGCACACTAACATTCACTCAGAACAGTATCAGCCCCTCGGGCTCACTCTCAGTACAACATCAGCCCCTCGGTCTCACTCTCAGTACAGTATTAGCCCCTCAGGCTCACTCTCAAATCATGATGGGTACTCGCGCTCACTGTGGGGGTGCAGACTCCGGAGGGGCCCCTTACGGCCCAAGCGCTATATCAAGCCACCTCGTGGCGTATAAAAGTATCTCAGGCCCTCGGCCTTATATCACTCAGCATATCCTCACATATGGCCCTCGGCCTCACTCAGTCAGAAAATCATCACAAGCCCCTCGGGCATTAGTAAAACAGTAGTTCTCGGCCCAAAACATCATTAGAAATATCATTGAAGTTTCAAATATGAATAAAAGTGGCTGAGTTTGAAAACAGTAAATATCAACATGACTGAGTTCAAGTAATAAGTCAAATAGTGAGGAATTAGTGATAAAAATCCCCGGATGGTTCAAATAGTTGGCACGAAGCCCAAATATGGCAATCAACCCAAATCATGATAATAACAAATAAGTTTCAGTCAAATACGCGGTAAAAACATCAATCGGGACGGACCAAGTCCCAATCCCCAATAGTAAATGACTCCACGCCCATCATCAGCGCGTGTCTCAACTCAATAGAGCAGTACGATGTGCAATCCGGTATTTTATACCCTCAGGACATCATTTACAATCATTACTCACCTCGAACCGGCTACAACTCTAGCTCGCGATGCCTTTGCCCCTCGAATCGACCTCCACGCGCATCGAATCTATCCAAAATCAGAATGAATACATCACAATATGCTAAGGAAACAAAACCCAAACGAAAACAATCGAAAAATATCAAAAATCCCGAAATTAGCAAAACCCGAGACCCGGGCCCACTTCTCGAAACTTAGAAATTTTCACATCATTAGATTCATTATCACCCCACGAGTTCATACATACCAAAAGTTCTTAATTCCGACCTCAAATGGTCCTTCAAATCCCAATTCAAAAGTTCAAAATCCAAGCCCTAGTTCTTCTATTTTTAGCTTAAGTTCCATGAATTTCTAGGTTAATTTCACAATAGATTCAAGTTTTAGGTTCGAAAATTATTCCTCCAATAAATTCTCCTTGAATCCCTCTTTAATCACCTTCAAAAAGCTCTCAAAATACTCAGTAGTGGAGGAAAAATGGCTCAAAATCGCGGATAAAATGACTTATAAATTTTCTGCCCAGGGGTTTTCGCATCTGCGATCCCACCACTGCTCCTGCGGTACCGCTTTTGCGGTAATCCCTCCGCATCTACGGAAATCACTTAGGGGGCCAGGTTCCGCATCTGCGTTCCACGAGCCGCATCTGCGACTCTGCAGGTGCGGTCCATGTGCCGCATTTGCGGTCCCTGACTACTCTTCCCAAATCTGCTTCTGCGGCTCTTCTTCTTCATATGCGGCACCGCACCTGCGGTCCCCAATTCGCAGGTGCGGAAATACCAGAGCAACAACTTCTAAGATCTCTTAAGTCCAAAATCTTCCCGTTAACCATCCGAATTCAACCCGAGGCCCTCGGGACATCAACCAAAAGCACTAACATGACACAATACCTTATTCAAACTTGTTCCAATCATCAAAGCACCTCAAACAACATCAAATTACCCGAAACACATCGGATTCAAGCCTAGTTTTTGAGAAATCTTCTGAAATACGTTTTCGATCAAAAACCCAACCAAACCACGTCCGAGTGACCTGAAATTTTGCTCATATCCCAAATGACAACACGAAGCTACTGCAACTCTCGGAATTCCATTCCGACCCTCGGATCAAAATCTCACCTACCAACCGAAAATTGCCAAAATACTAAATTCGCCAATTCAAGCCTAATTCTACACCGGACCTCCAAAACCAATTCCGATCACACACCTAAGTCATAAATTACCTCCCGAATCTAAATGAACCATCAGAACTCACATCCGAGCCCTCTAACTCATATGTCAACATCCGGTTGACTTTTCCAACTTAAACTTTCTTAAAAGAGACTAAGTGTCTCATTTTTTACCAAATCCACTCCGAACGCAAACTACTCAACTCGGTCACATAAAACACGGATAACGAAGCATAATGAAGCATAAATGGAGGGGGGGAACGGAGCGGTAACTCATGAGATGACTGGCCGGGTCGTCACAACTTAATTACTAAGAAAATTTGTGTGTCCAGAGATGCGATTTTTTATGAGTCAATCTTCCCTTTTTCACTCCCACCTTTACCAAATTCCTTTTTTCTCTTGCCTAATTCTGTCACACATCAAGATTATTCTACCGACTGCAGTTCTTATCCAGTCCACAACCCTTTAACTTCTCAGACAGATAACTCTACTGCATCATCACCTAGTAGCACCACACACACAACTATCCTAATGTCACATAATCATACTATACATTCACCTCATACACTTAATACCACATCACCAGACTTAATCTCTTCAATCACTTCCAGGGTAGACCAACCCTCATCTTCTATTATGAGGCCAATCCAAAGGGTGTCCAGTAGAATATCTAAGACCATATCTTATTTGTCTGAATATGTTTGTAATATGTCTAACCCAAAACAATCTCAGAATGCTGAAGCCACTCAGATCAACCCTTCCTTTTCTCTGAATGCTCTCTTTACCCAAAACAACCATATTGCTCTTGATGTCCTTAATGCTGATAGTCAGCATGTTGTAAAAAGAATTTGTAATGATAGCGAGCCATTGTCTTATGAAGAAGCATCAATCAATCCTGCCTGGCAGCATGCCATAATTTAGGAATTTGAAGTACTTCATGCAAACAACACTTGGACTTTAGTCCCTTTACCTGCTAGGAAACAAGCCATAGGCTGCAAATAGGTCTTTAAGGTAAAGCATAAAACAGATGGGAGTATGGAAAGGTATAAAACCAGATTAGTTGTAAAAGGCTATACACAAAAAGCTGGCATAGATTACACAGAAACTTTTTCTTCAGTAGTAAAGATGGCCATTGTTAGAGCTTTAATTGCTACTACAGCTAAGAAGAACTGGGAGCTATTTCAATGAGATGTGAACAATGCTTTTCTCCATGGAGATTTGCATAAAGAGGTATACATGAAGCTGCCCAAGGGCTTGCAGTTTCTTCTCCATAACTGGTTTGCAAATTGAACAAATCCCTCTATGGTCTAAAGCAAGCTAGTAGACAATGGTATGCTAAACTTACTGAAGCTTTGTATTCCAAGGGCTACATTCATTCTATGCACGATTATTCTCTCTTTTACAAGAGAACATCTGATCGTGTGGTATTTGTGGGAGTTTATGTAGATGATGTTCTTCTAACTTGAAATGATCTCACTTAAAATCAAATGCTGAAAACCTTCATGCATAACCAATTCAAGATCAAAGACTTGGGAAAATTACACTACTTCTTGGGACTTGAGGTGCTCTACAGAAAAGGTGGAATCTTGATCTCACAAAGGAAGTTTACTCTTGATCTCCTCAAAGAATATGACTGTCTCCATGCTACCAGTTTGTCTTCTTCACTTGATCTCACAACAAAGTTGAAAGCTAAGGAAGGAGTACCTCTATCTGATCCTACTTTCTACAAGCAGCTAGTTGGGAAGTTAAACTTCCTCACCAACACTAGACTGGACATAGCTTATGGGGTACAACATCTAAGCCAATATATGCAGGACCCTAGAGAACCTCATCTTCAGGCAACATACCATATGCTTAGATACCTACTCAAGGATCCCACCTTGGGTCTCTTCATGTCCAGTGATAATGATTTCTCAGTAAAAGCCTACTGTGATTCTGATTGGGCTACATGCCCTGATTCCATGAAGTCAGTGTCAGGATACCTTGTCCTTTTGGGAAACAGTCCTATCAGTTGGAAATCTAAGAAGCAGGAAACCATCTCCCTTTCTTCAGCAGAAGCAGAGTACAGATCCATTAGAAAGGTCGTTGGTGAACTTGTTTGGCTGCATCGTGTGCTCACAGAATTGACTATACCTCCTGTTCTACCTATCCCTCTATTTTGTGACAATCAATCTGCTCTCCACATTGCCAAGGATCTAGTTTTTCACGAACGTACGAAATACATTGAAGTTGATTGTCACTTCGTTAGGACAAAGCTCACAAAAGGCCTCATCTTGCTTCAACATATTAGAACTGGTGATCAACTCGCTGACATTCTCACCAAATCCCTCACTGGGATCAAGCATTCCACTATCTTGGGCAAGTTGGCAGTGTGTTCTCCACCTCTAACTTGAGGGGGGTATTAAGATTATAAGAAATTTGTATTTTATTTTCCTTTCCGATAGTTAGTTAATAGTTAGTTAGATGCTGCATTGTTCATTCAGTTAGTTAGTTAATGACTTCCGATAGTTAGTTATAGTTGTTAGTTAGAGGCCGGTTAGTTAATTGATTAGAGATTGATTAGCTGTTGCTTAACTGTCATTAGCTAATCTGATTGTATATATTCCAGCTTATGCATAATTGAAAAGCGATTCTCTTTTCACTCATTTGAGAATTCCATTTCTGCCTTAGCTTCGATCCTTTGGAAGCTTCTAACCGCTTCCGCCATTGTAGGCTATGAAGCTCTATGAGCTCGTACTTCTTCAAGCTTAACATATATGTTGAAACTCGTAATGCATGGATATATAACTTTAATTAGTATAAGTGAACTGTAATTGCATATCAGGGTAAGTCATGTAGTAGCTCGTTTTTAACAAAATAACGTTACAAAATAATGATCATATCCAACAAGAATTAGTAAACAATTATCAAACATTTGACTCCGCCGTGCACCCGATTCCTATATATCCTTGTTGGTGATCGATATTTGATTCTTCCTACTCTCACTTTAACATAAAGTGCAGCATATAATGCCCATGATACATTTTTTATCAAGAGCTTACTTTAGCCTTGCACACTGATGCAAAACCTTGCCTTGTAACAAGATACTTTGGTTAACAGATTTTTAAGCATGAACAAACTACTTTTTCAAGTTTACCTGCTATTAATTACTAAATCTTAATTCAAGTTATAGGCCCGTGCGCTGTCGTACGTAATATTCTCAGCCTAACAAACCTTGATGGTGCAAAAGCCAAAAAAGGACGAATAAAGAAAGCGAACCACCTTTTGTCTCATCTTGTCGTCTATCAATCAATATAATGGACTAGGTCACACCAAACTTTTCAAAAATCAAAAGAATTTTAGCTTTTGGAAATGGTACGTAAGGAAAGAGTATTAGAAGAATTCGAGGAGAAAGCAGAAAAGGAGAATCGGGTAAGATAAAAAATTTAGTGTAGTTTATATGAGTTATTGAGAACTTTGAGGAGGATTCCTAAGCTTTGAGATACAAGGACTAGAAGACACCTATACGATGTTAAAATAAAGAAAACGAATTTGAGCATTAATTGCTTTGGAAGTTATCAAAAGGGAATTCCCAAGCATCCATGGTCCTTGGGGAGGTTTTTATTCCTTAAAAATAATTAGGACAACAAATCAAACAAAAGAGCCTAACCATGAAAGTAAGGAATTATATATATTGTGTGTTTGTAACCATGTGCTTAAGATACCATTACTACGTACGTAATCGCTAGCTAGCTTGTCTTTTTTTCTCTCCCTTGTCATTATTTATGTAACACCCACAGAACTTTAGCGTTAAATCCTACTTAAACTAATTATTAATATGTCTTTGTTTTCGTTAAACAAAGAAGAACTTGCCCCAACGAGGAGGAGGCCAAAAGAATAGAGACACTGGATCAAATGTTGAGCCAGGCATGGGAAAAAGGAAATTTTGGTTTTGATACTAGTGATGTTTTGACTGAGTTGTCCCCTCTATTGATTTTTCTATTACTTTGGATTTGGATTTGGATGTGCAATACTGTGCTATTATAAATCCGTCCAATCATTACCCAAAAGTTTGAAAAACTGTCTTGAGCTGGCTCAATACGCTAGATGACGAGGATGGACCATTAACTATGAATCATGATCTTAATTATCAACCTCTAAATTACTAGGTTTAAGATAATAAAAGGATATGAAATCCACTGTGAGCTCATCGTATCCATGGTCCTGGGTGCATGGCTGTCACCTAAAGGGAAGAATTATAAAAATTAATTTAAAGAAACATATATAGCACCAAAAGCAGGAAAAAGGTTACAAAGTAAAATTGCAATTAGCAGTTGGCAACTTGGCATCATTTAACTCAACTCATTACTAGCTCCCGTCTATCGTCTCTGATAAAGCATGAAACGAGATAATACACATTCCAAAAAATAATGGTACTAAACGTGCATAAAGTATATAATTACAAGGGTACTATGCAAACTTCAAAATACAAACAGCTAAGGTATAATCCAGTTGAACAAGACGGACTTAAAAGAATTTTGAGCGAGGGACAATAAGAAGTACTAGTAGTACTAATAAGTTTTAAAAAAGTCCATGTGCTTAGACTAGAGCAAAAATTAAGAGATGCTGCGAATATCAGGACGAGAAATTAATATTCAATTTTTTCTGGCTTTTGAAAAATTTACTTAATGGACTTTGAAGCTCAAAATTGAAATTGACCTTGACCAAATCTATTTTGTTTTAATATCTGAAAGGCCTTCTTAAATTCGAAAAAAGGGACCTTTTTAAAGGGAAATTCACAAATCATTGGGCTGTTCTTTCCTTGTTTCTTTTTCAGGACCCCTTCAGTATACTAAGCTGTTTTTTGTTATTTTTCTGCTATTTTTTCTGAAAAACATATTACTCTCGTAAGCAAATTACCAAAACTGTGAAAGAAAAATGCTCCCTTTCTCCTGTCAAGACTAATAAATTGTCAGCAGTTACTGTTTTATTCTACTTTTTGTTTTGAAAAATTGACATCTCCTGATAATGTACAAAAGGAATTGGCAAATTTTTCGCCTTAGATTACGTTTGACAAAGGAAGCCCAAAAAAATTTGCATTGTACAACTAAATCCCAAAAAAACTTACTTTCCTATTTATTTTCTCTCCCGATAACCCGTTCTCCACCTCTCTTTGTCGTCTCCCTTCCCCCATATTTCTTCTTCTATCTCTCCTCTCTCCTTCTGCAACCAACCTCTGTTTTCTCCAAATCTCTTTCATATAGATCATTAGTTATGTTTGATATAATTATTTCAATAGAACGACTGTTGGTCCAAGTAAAGGTGAAATTTTGAAGACTGACAAAGGAACTCAGATATGGACCAGGTCCATCTTGTGAAACACAGTTATGATCAACCCAAACATGTGAGATGCGCGTGAAGGAGATAAACCTAACTTATCAGAAGTGATATCTCCTTATCATGATCGAAAAGGTTGCATATTGGATAAGGAGAAAGACTCCTTACACAAAAAGAACACGGTTTAGGAAAAAGATAGAGTTAGAAAATGAGATCAACTCGAACTCTTCCACCATGGAAGAGTAGCATATGTATCCTAGTCAATCTCTAATTGCTAACTCCTTAAATATCAGTGTTGTTCTCTTTTATAGATAATGCGCATAAGCAGAAGTAAAACGTGAATTGAGAGCAAAATAGCAAGGCAATTTTGCAAGCAACTTATGTGTGATTCAAGCGTGCAAACCTGAAGCCACTTGAACCAGATAGAAGAACCAGTTCCAAGTGTCTATCTTTTATTCGAGTTCAATTGTAGTAGGTGATTTTACATTGTACCTTTCAGCTTATATAGAAGTAATTGTATTAAGTACCTAGAAGTTAGAGTTAACTAGAAGTTGTCGCAACAGTTTGAGGCTGTGTGCTACAACGGGATTAGAGTTAATCCTAGATTTACAAAAGAGTTTTTGTAAATGCAGTTTTTGGCTCAGTGATTTTAGTGGAGAGTTTGGAAAAATCATACTGGAAGGTATGTCGTGGTTTTTTCACCTTTTGAGCCAGGTGTTTTCCACCTAAAATTTTTGTGTTCTTTGTTTTCTGTATTTATTATTCCACAACAGTAGTAGTTGGAACACATAGAAGAACCAGGTCCTTCTATAATCAAGTTAAGTGAAAATTGGGTACCACACAAATCATCCTTCCCCTGTGTGGTATTGAAGTATAAAACATCAACGACTGAATTCATTAATTAAATAACTTTAATTGAGCATGGTATTACATGGTCGGTTCTCTTTGTTTTCTATAGCATAACTGATGAACACTAGATTCTACTCCTAGCTATGGCGATGAAAGCTGAGAAGAAGTAAAGGAAAGCAAAGGAGTAGTTGTGCTCTTGTTACTGTATAATTGCATAACAGAAAAATGGAAAGCGACTGTACATTTATACTACTCAACTACTTAACCGCCTAACTTTGTATTATTTAACTCCTAACTACCGACTAACCATACCACTAACTTATTACATATAAATTAACTGTACACAGCTATCAATAACTCTTAGCTCAACCCCCCTCCTCAAGCTGATGGTTGAAAGATATCTTTCAGCCTCAACTTGGACATTAAGTAGTCATGTTGCACTCGACCAAGGCTCTTTGTAAGGAGATCAGCATGCTGCTCTTTGGTGGACACATGATGTGTTTTGATCAGTCCTTGTACTATCTTCTCGCGAATAAAATAGCAATAAATATCAATGTGTTTGGTCTTTTCATGAAATATAGGATTGGCTGCTATTTGGATAGCAGTTTTAATGTCACAATTAAGAGTTATAGGTAACTCAATCTCCATACCTAACTCCTCGAATAGACCTGTAAGCTAGGTAAGTTCAGCAACTGCTGAGGCCATGCTCCTAAACTCTGCCTCTATAGATCTTCTAGCCGCTGCCTCTTATTTCTTTGACTTCCATAAAATTAGTGCATTCTTAAACTTCACCAAGTAGCCTATAACTGATCTTCTGGTCTGCAGATAGCCCTCCCAATCTGAGTCAAAAAAAAACCTTCCAGTTTTCCTGAAACTATAGATGGCATTATAAGGCCAAGTCCTGGAGCACCTTTTGTCACACCCCTTTTTACACCTTAACCCCTTTAAAAAGATAAAAAGATTTTAAAGCTCAAAAAGTTTTACAATATGAAAGTGACAAAAGATTGTGTTTCAAAGGATTTTTCAAAATCGCCACTTGACATTTGGTTTTGATGTGCCAAGTCACCATTTAAAAAAATGATTTTCCTTCAAAACACATTTGACTCTAAAACTTACTGCACCAGAGATTCCAAGTAAGGAAGTTCATTTGACTTAGGGTAAAGGTGTTAGGAATTCCCCGAATTCTATAACTAATACGCATGCGTACTTGATCAAGTTGGCTTTAAAGAGTATTCTAATAGAGGAAAAACACACAAAAGCAAAACACAAAAGAGGCTCGAAGATGTCCCAACCTTTATAAGAAAAGAGAATAAATAAGAAAAAAAATACTAAAAGTCTACACTATGCTCATTCCATGACGTCCGTTACTGCCTCCGATTACATTCACTATGGGACATCCCTCGGATAAATATATACAAAATCTGTGGGGTATTCCCCTGAATATTAACTAAAGGGAACGACCTTATGCCTCTGATGCAGAAAAAAATATCTTAAAAGTTGCCTACCCGGGTGTGATCGGCCTAAACATGTTACTAGCGATATTAAAAAGAAATTGAATAATAGTAAGATATTTAAGGTCCAATTTCTTTCCCATGTTTAATTTCACATTCCATAGCCCAACCATACATCATACGAATGATTTTATATCCAAAAAACATATTAGCAAGGTAAGGCAGACAAAGCAGACAAATATTTAATGAAGATAAAAGCTAATGAAAACTAAAACAAAATAATAATAAAGTAAGGAAAAGTGAATTAAAGCCATGGGAATAGCCATTCTAATATATTCCTATCACCGCCCCATTCCTCTATCATTTTAATATTAAACCTCAACTCATAGCTGCATCCCGTCTCTGAGAACTTACAAATTAGTTGCGAGAATTAATCGGTTTACTCCCTTTTTACTCCAACTTTTATCAAATTACACTAACAGAGAACTAAGGTGATTTACTGCTTGATAGCACATTAAACAAAATGATATCATTAAAGTCTTTACCAAGATTCAGACATATGACAACTGAGATGTCACGACCCTAAATCACCCCGGTCGTGATGTCGCCTATCGCAATACTAGGCTAGCCTATTCGACATTTACAACATAAATAGGTCTTTTCTTAATTCATTTACTAATAAGATATTATCACCAATCTTTCGTTTAAACATTTCAAAACAAGCGGAAACAATATGCGAAACATCAACCACAGCCCGATCCCGATGTCGCTAGTCATGAGCCACTAAAATACAATCTGGTATGTCTACTCAATACAAGAGGAGTCTGATAAAAACAAATACTAAAAGATAGGAACGAGAAAGGCAAGGCTGCAGAAGCCGTGTAGCTGCCTTCCTAACTCCGGAAATGCTCTGAAGGAAAGAACAGCTCTCACTCGGACCCTGGCACCTAGATTTGCACACAAGGTGCAGGGAGTAACGTGAGTACGCCAACTCAGTAAGTAACAATTATAAATAAAAGCTGAGTACAATGATGAGCATTTAAAATCATATACATCTCGTAACTTAAAAATCTCAGTGGAAAAAGAACAAAGTAAAATCAGTAACTCAATTCCGAACATCTCGTAAAGATTCCAGTTTCAATAAAAGTTGTTTAAAACATTTGTTCAATATTTTCAATAGAGGCTATAAAAGAAAAGTGAAACAGTAATTTCATAAAACAAGCCCCTCGGGCAAAGTATCACTCATATATATAGCCCCTCGGCAAGCCTCTCAGTCACTCGTGACTCAATTATCATCAATCAGCACTCCTGCTCAATAGTTATCTCATAATAACCGCCACCGCGTGCAACCCGATCCATAAATATATAGTTGACTGTGCTCACTTGGGGTGTGCAGACTTTAGAGGGGCTCCTACAACCCAAGCGCTATATCGCTGCGGCGTGCAGCCCGATCCAATATATCATTGCGGCGTGTAGCCCGATCCACACACACACACAGATATATATATATCGCTGCGGCGTGCAGCCCGATCCATAATTATATATCCTCACTATCAGGCCCTCGGCCTCTCTTAATCATCAACCTCACAGCCACTCGGGCATTTCAATTAAAAATCATGGAACTCAGCCCAAACAGTTTTCATATATTTGAAGGTAGAGTAATGAAACTGAATCAAACAATAAACAAGCAAAAATCATGACTGAGGATATGCTTTCGAATCAAAACAATGTGAGGATAGTAGTAAAATACCCCTGAGGGTCCAAACAGTACGGCACAAGGCCCCAAACATGGCATTCAGCCCAAGCTAACGGAATTATTTCTAAACACATAGATTTCATATAGTGTTTATCAAAATTATGCAACTCTACACTTGCCACGGGATGGACCAATTCACAATCCCTACCGGTGTACGCCCATACACCCATCACCTAGCATGTGTGTCACCTCATTTATAAAAATTAGTACGAAATTTGGGGGTTTCATACCCTCAGATCTAGATTTAAAATCGTTACTTACCTCGAACCGGATGAAGATCTACTCCGCAATGCTCTTGCCTCTTGACTCGGCCTCCAATCGCCCTGAATATATCCAAACTCAGAATCATATCATCAATACATGCCAAAGGAACAAAACCCATATGAAAATTATCAAATTAGACCCAAAATCCCGAATTTGCTCTAAATCAACCCCCGGGTCCATGTCTCGGAATCCAACAAAAATTACAAAACTAGAAACTTCTTTCACTCCCGAGTCTATACATACCAAAATCATCAAAATCGTACCTCAAATGGCCCCTCAAATCTCCAATTTAAACTCTCCAATTTCAAACCTTAATCTCCCAATTTTTTCTCTAATTTTCCCATTAATATCATGATTCAACAATGGAATAATTGCCATAAACACAAGATACAAGGTCCAAGTAGTTTACCTCACTAAAAACACTTAATTCCCTCTTGAAATCACAGCCCCCAAGCTCCAACTCGTCCAAAAATGGTGAAGAAATGGCTGAAATTCGCGGAGAGGGCTTTTTATATGTTCTGCCCAGCTATTTCCGCATCTGCGAACAATATCTCGCACATGCAGGCCGCTTTTGCGCCCAAAAATCCGCACCTGCGGAAGTCACTTAAGTCCTCAGATGCTACACCTACGCCCCAAGTCTCTCACCTGCGGGCTCGCAGATGCGGTCCAGCCCTCCGCTCCTGCGACCAATGCCTCTTCTGCGGTCTCCTTTCTGCTTCTACGGCTCGCACCTACGGTCCCAATCCACAGGTATGGTTATGACAGAAAACAATAGCTTCAGCTACAACTCCAATTTTCCAACTCTCTAATAACCCGTCGAAATCATCCCAAGGCCCTCGAGACCTCAACCAAACCTACCAACAAGTCATATACCATTATTCAAACTTATTCAAACCTTCGGAACACTCAAAACAACATCAAAATACCAAATCACCCTATGATTCAAGCCTAAAGATTTCTAAACTTTCGAATTCTACAAACAATACAAAAACCTATCAAACCTCATTCGAATGACCTGAAATTTTGCACACACGTCACAAATGACATAACGGACCTACTCCAATTTCTAGAATTCCATTCTGACCCCGATATCAAGATTTCCTCTATCGGTCGGAAAATGCCAAATTTCCAATTTTGTAAATTCAAGCCTAAATCTATCACGGACATCCAAAATACATTCCGATCACACTCCTAAGTCCAAAATCACCTAACGAAGCTATCTGAATTATCAGAATTTACCTCTGAGACTTTCTACTCATAAGTCAAAATCCAGTCGACTTTTCCAACTTAAGCTTCTAAATAAGAGACTAAGTGTCTCATTTCACTCCATGACCACTCCACACACAGAACAACCAACACGATATGATGAAATACAGCTGAACAACACATAAAGAAGAAGAAATGGGGATAACAGGACTGTAACTCATGAAACGACCGGCTGGATCGTTACATCCTCCCCCTCTTAAACAAATGTTCATCCTCGAACGGGTCAAGAAACATACCTGGAACCTCAAATAGGTGAGGATATATGTTCCACATCTCCCGCTCGGTCTCCCAGGTGGCCTCCTCCACGGGCCGACCTCTCCACTGCACTTTCACTGAAGCTATATCCTTTGATCTCAACTTTCAGACCTCCTACTCCAAAATAGCCACTGGCTCCACATCATAAGTCAAATCATCGTCTAACTTAATCGTGCTAAAATCCAAAACATGAGACGGATCGTCAATATACTTCCGGATCATAGAAACATGAAATATCGGATGCACACTCAACACGCTAGGTGGTAAAGCAGGCTCATAAGCCACCTCCCTAATCCTCCGAAGTACCTCAAAAGGCCCAATGAACTAAGGACTCAATTTACCCTTCTTCCCAGACCTCATAACACCTTTCATGGATGAAACCTTCAGTAGAACCTTCTCCCCAACCATGTACAACACATCACGAACCTTCCTATCAACATAACTCTTTTGTCTTGACTGCGATGTACGAAGCCGCTCCTAAATCACTTTCACCTTGTCCAAAGCATCCTGCACTAAGTTTGTCCCCAAAAGCCTGGCCTAGCCCGGCTTAAACCATCCTATTGGAGATCTATACCGTCTCACATATAAAGCCTCATATTGAGCCATCTAAATACTCGACTGATAACTGTTGTTATATGCAAACTTCGCGAGCTGTAGAAACTGATCCCATGAACCCCCAAAATCAATGACACAAGCGCACAACATGTCCTCCAATATATGAATAGTGCGCTCGGACTACCCGTTCGTCTGAGGGTGAAAAGTTGTGCTCATCTCAACCTAAGTACCCAACTCTCGTTGCATGGCCCTCCAAAACTGCGGCGTAAACTGAGTACCTCTATCCAAAATGATGGAAACTGGGACACCATATAGGCGAACAATCACTCAGATATAAATCCCTGCTAATCGCTCTAAAAAATAGATAGTACACACAGGAATGAAGGGCGCGGACTTGGTCAGTCGATCCACAACCACTCAAATAGCATCGAACTTCCTCAAAGTCTGTGGGAGTCCAACTACGAAATCCATGGTGATCCGCTCCCACTTCCACTCTGGAATATCCATCTGCTGAAGTAAGCCACCCGATTTCTGATGCTCATATTTCACCTGCTGACAATTGAGACACCGAGCTACAAATCCCACTATATCTTTCTTCATTCTCCTTCACCAGTAGTGTTGTCTCAAATCTTGATACATCTTTGCGGCACCCGAATGGATGGAATATCGTGAGCTATGAGCCTCCTCCAGAATCAACTCCCAAAGCCCATCCACATTGGGCACACATATCCGACCCTGCATCCTCAATACCCCATCATCACCAATAGTCACATATCTGGCATCGTCGTGTTGTACTCTGTCCTTGAGGACAAGCAAATGAGGATCATCAGTTACTGGCGCTCTCTGATGCGATCAAACAAGGAAGACCGAGAAACCACACAAGCTAGGATCCGACTGGGCTCCGAAATATCCAACCTCACAAACCAATTGGCCAAGGCCTGAACATCAACTGCAAGAGGTCTCTCCCTGACAGGAACATACGCCAAACAGCCCATACTCACCGCCTTCCTACTCAAGGCATCGACCACTACATTAGCCTTCCCCGAATGGTAAAAGATAGTGATATCATAATCCTTTAGCAGCTCCAACCATCTCCGCTGCCTCAAATTGAGATCCTTCTGCTTGAACAAGTGCTGGAGGCTACGATAATCAGTAAACACCTCACAAAACACACCATAGACATAATGCCTCCAAATCTTCAACGCATGAACAATGGCATCCAACTCCAAATCATAAACATGGTAGTTCTTCTCATGGGGCTTTAACTGATGAGAAACATAAGCAATCACTCTACCATCATACATCAACACACACCCAATACCAACTCTAGATGCATCACAATATACTGTGTATGAACCTGAAGCTTATGGCAAAACTAACACTGGAGATGTGGTCAAAACAGTCTTGAGCTTCTGGAAGCTTGCCTCACACTCATCCGACCATCTGAATAGACCACCCTTTTGAGTCAATTTGGTCAAGGGTGATGCAATAGATGAAAATCCCTGAATGAACCGACGGTAATAACCCGCCAAACCATGAAAGCTGCGAATCTCAGTGGCTGAGGACGATCTGGGCCAACCCGGAACCACCTTTATCTTCTTCGGATCAACCTGAATACCCTCACTGGACACCACGTGCCCCAAGAAAGCCACTGAACTGAGCCAAAACTCACACTTGGAGAACTTTGCATAAAGCTTCTCCTCCCTCAACCGCTGCAATACAATAAATGCCCAGCGTGCTCCTTCTAACTACGCGAGTATACTAGAATATCATCAACAAATATAATAACAAACGAGTCGAGATAAGGCCGAAACACATTGTTCATCGAATGCATCAACGCTGTTGGGGTATTGGTCAGCCCAAAAGACATCACAAAGAACTCATAATGACTGTATCGGGTCCTGAAAACCGTCTTAAGAATATCTGAGTCCCTGATCTTCAACTGGTGATACCCTAACCGAAGATCAATCTTGGAGAACACCCTCGCTCCCTAAAATTGGTCAAATAAATCATCAATACGAGGAAAAGGATACTTGTTCTTGATTGTAACTTTGTTCAACTGCCTGTAATCAACGCACATCCTCATCGTGCCATCTTTTTTCTTCACAAATAGAACAGGCGCACCCTAAGGCGACACACTAGGCCGAATAAATCCCTTATCAAGGAGTTCCTGAAGCTGCTCCTTCAACTCCGTCGGTGCCATACGATACGGTGGAATAGAAATGGGCTGAGTGCCCGACACCAATCAATACCGAAGTTAATATCCCTGTCTGGTGGCATGCCCGGTAGGTTTGCAGGAAACATATCTGGAAAGTCCCTCACCACCGGGACTAAATCAATAGTAAGAGTCTCTATACTAACATCCCTCACGAAGGCCAAACAAGAAAGGCAACCCTTCCCAACCATCTTTTGGGCCTTCAAAAACGAAATCACTCTACTGGGAACAAAATCAGTCGAACCTCGCCACTCAATCTTTGGCACACCCAGCCTAACATCACTGTCTTAGCATGATAGTCCAAAATAGCATGACATAGAGATAGCCAATCCATGCCTAATATCACATCAAAATCCCTAATGGAGGTCCACTCGGGACTCCAAACCCCTAATGGTCACCAGACACGACCGATATATGCGGTCCACAATAATAGTATCACCTACCGGAGTAGATACATGAACAGATGAAACAAGAGACACACGGGCATATCCAAATAACGAGCAAAATACGATGACACATATGAAAAAATGGAAGTAGGATCAAATAACACAGAGGCATCTCTGTGGCAAACTGAGACAATACATATAATCACGGCATCTGAAGGAATAACATCTGGTCTGGCTGGGAGTGCATAGAAATGGGCCTAACCACCACCTGATCGACCTCTTCCTCTAGGGCGACCGCTAACTGACTGACCCCCACCCCTAGCTGCCTGGGCGGGTGGTGAAGTAATTGGAGCTGAAGTCGAGGGCTGACTCCTCTGTTTAGATGGACCCCATGAAGACGAGGACATTGTCTCCTCATATGCCCAAACTCTCCACACTCATAACAACTCCCTAGTACGGGGCACTGGGACTGAAGGGAACCCCTAGCACCGGGATGACTAGTAGAAGAACCTGGCATGGAAGAGCCCTTAACTAATGGAGCACGGGACGAACTCTGGGCTAGAAGGGCACTAAGTGATGAATGGCCCTGATGAGAACTGTGGGAAGCATGGCCCCATGATGCCCCACAATGAACTGGGCGAGCTGACTGAGCTTATCTGAATGGACAACCTCTATCGTGCTAAAACTGGATCCTCAAATGAGCACCATCAAAACTACCAAATCTCCGAGACCTCTTGGCATCCCTCTCATCTCACTTCTGGCGACGAACTGACTCAATCTCTCGGGCAATATCAACAACCTGCTCAAAAGTAGCACCTGACATGCTCTCGCTGGTCATGAGAATCCGAAGCTGATATGTGAGGACATCCATAAACCTCCTGATCCTCTCCCTATCTGTAGGAACTAACCAAACAGCATGATGAGCTAGCTCTGAAAATCTCATCTCATACTATGTCACAGTCATATCATCCTAACGCAACTGCTCGAACTGCCTGTGCAGCTCCTCCCTACAAGCCTGTGGCACTTGTTTCTCCAAAAAGAGAGCAAAGAACTGCTGCCAGGTAAGGGGAGTTACGCCAACAGGCCTACGCCTCTCAAAAGCCTCCCACCAAGTAAAGGCAGCTCCTGAAAACTAAAAAGTAGTGAACGAGACCCCACTAGTCTCCAAAATACCTGCGGTCCGAAGCATCCTCTAACACTTCTCCAAGAAACCCTGGGCATCCTCGTCTTCCACACCACTAAAAGTCGGAGGATGAAGTCTAGCAAACCTCTCCAATCGACGCTGCTCGTCGTCAGGCATAATTGGTACCACATAATCTTGACCAAGCATAACCGGCTGGGCTGGAGGTGCCCCTAGCGTCTGAAGTCCCGGCACAACCTGCTCAGGTGTGCGAGCGGCGGGAGTTTGGGTGCCTCCCCCGGCCTGAGAAGTAGCTATGACCGTAGTAACTGAGACAGCCTGAGCCAGGCCAGTGCACACTGATAGAATCTGGGCTAGGACCTCTTGAAGGCCTGGAATAACAATCGGCACAACCGATACCTGAGCTAGTCCTGCTGGAACGTCCACAACTGGAACCTGATCGTGAACTGGGGCAGCTGGTGGATCTGCAGGTGCTGCCCTAGCGGCTGTGCAGGCTACACCCCTAATCCTACCACGACCTCGACTGCGACCTCATCCTCTAGTGGCCCCATCTGGTGGTACTGGTGGTCGTTCATCCTAACCGGTAGCATGTGTCCTCACCATCTGTGAAAGAATAGAATAACAGAAGTTTAGTTACCAGAATCAACAGATTCGCACGATAGGAATTCAAGAATGTGAAATTTTTCCTAAAGGTTCTGCAGCCTCTCGAAGATAAGTACAGATGTCTCTGTACTAATCCGCAAGACTCTACTAAACCTGCTCATGACTGGTGAGACCTATGTAACTTATGCTCTGATACCAACTTGTCACGACCCTAAACCACCCCGATTGTGATGGCGCCTATCGCAGTACTAGGATAGCCGATTCGATATGTACAACATAAACAGGTCTTTTCTTAATTCATTTACTAATAAGATATTATCAACAATCTTTCGTTTAAACATTTCAAAACAAGCGGAATCAAATATGCGAAACATCAACCACTGCCCGATCCCGGTATCACTAGTCATGAGCCACTAAAATACAATCTGGTACTGTCTACTCAATACAAGATGTGTCTGATAAAAACAAATACTAATATATAGGAGCGAGAAAGGCAAGGCTTTAGACGCTGTGCAACTACCTTGCTAACTCCGGAAATGCTCTGAAGGAAGGAACAACTCTCACTCGGATGCCCTGGTACCTGGTCTGCACACAAGATGTAGGGAGTAACGTGAGTACGCCAACTCAGTAAGTAACAATTATAAATAAAGGCTGAGTGTAGTGACGAGCATTTAAAATTATATACATCTCATAACATAAAAATCTTAGTGGAAAAAGTACAAAGTCAAATCAGTAACTCAATTTCGAACATCTCGTAAAAACTCCAGTTTCAATGAAAGTTGTTTAAAACATTTGTTCAACATTTTTAATAGAGGCTCAGACTGATAGAGTTTTGTTTAGGTTTTTTAGCGGTCTATGCTATGTTCACATGGTTGGTTGCATAGTTTTGTGTTATTGTCCTTTCCCTTATTCGTTGTTATAATTTTCTTTCTGGCATCTTTTGTTGTTACATGCCTTTTCTTTTATTTCTTTCCTGATATTATTGTCTCTCTTGTTGAGCCGAGAGTCTCCTGGAAACAGCCTCTCTACGCTTTTCGGGGTAGGGGTAAGGTCTGCGTACACTCTACTCTCTCCAGACCCTACTAGTAGGATTTTACTGGGTATGTTGTTGTTGTTGCTCAGTATAAAAGAAGAGTGAAACGGTAATTTCATAAATAAGTCCCTCGGGCAAAGTATCACTCATATATATAGTCCTTTGGCAAGCCTCTCAGTCACTCGTGACTCAATTCTAATCAATTAGCACTCACACTCAGCACTCCCGCTCAATAGATATCTCATAATAACCGCCGCCGCGTGTAGCCGATCCATAAATATATAATCGACTGCGCTCAATGGGGGGTGTGCAGACTCCGGAAGGGCTCTTACAGCAAAGCGCTATATCACTGCGGCATGCAGCCGGATCCAACATATCGCTGCAGCGTGCAGCCCGATCCATAATTATATAATCCTCACCATCAAGCCCTCAGCCTCTCTCAGTCATCAACCTCACAACCACTCGGGCATTTAAGTGAAAAATCAGGGAATTCAACCCAAACAGTTTTCATATATTTGAAGGAAGAGTAATGAAACTGAATCAAACAATAAACAGGTAAAAATCATGACTGAGGATATTCTTTCGAATTAAAACAGTGTGAGAATAGTAGTAAAATACCCCTGAGGGTCCAAACAGTACGGCACAAGGCCCCAAATATGGCATTCAACCAAGTTAACAGAATTATTTCTAAACACATAGATTTCATATAGAGTTTATCAAAATATGCAACTCTACAGTTGCCATGGGACAGACCAAGTCACAATTCTTACTAGTGTACGCCCACACGTCCGTCACCTAACATGTGCATCACCTCATTCATCAAACTTAGTACGAAATTCCGAGTTTCATACCCTCAGATCTAGATTTACAATCGTTACTTACCTCGAACCGGACGAAGACCTACTCTGCAATGCTCTTGCCTCTCGACTTGGCCTCCAATCTCTCCGAATCTATCCAAAATTATAATCATATCATGAATACATACCAAAGGAACAAAACCCACATGAAAATTATCAAATTAAACCCAAAATCCCGAATTTGCTCAAACCCGGCCTCCGGGTCCACGTCTCGGAATCCAACAAAAATTGCAAAACTAGAAACTTCTTTCACTCCCGAGTCTATACATACCAAAATCATCAAAATCGGACCTAAAATGGCCCCTCAAATACCCAATTTAAACTCTCCAATTTCAAGCCCTAATCTCTCAATTTCTTCTCTAATTTTCCCATTAATATCATGATTAAACAATGGAATAATTGCCATAAACACAAGATAGAAGGTCCAAGTAGCTTACCTCACTGAAAACACTTAATTCCCTCTTGAAATCACAGCCCCCAAGCTCCAACTCATCCAAAAATGGTGAAGAAATGGCTGAAATTCGCGAAGAGGGCTTTTTATACTTTCTGCCTAGCTATTTCCACATCTGCGGAAAATATCTCGCACTTGCGGGCCGCTTCTGCACCCAAAAATCCGCACCTACGGAAGTCACTTAAGTCCTCAGACGCCGCACCTTTGCCCCAGGTCTCGCACCTGCGAGCTCGCAGATGCGGTCCAGCCCTCCACTCCTGCGACCAATGCTGCTTCTGCGGTATCCTTTCCGCTTCTGCGGCTCGCACCCGCGGTCCCCAATTTGTAGGTGCAGATATAATAGGAAAAAGCAGCTTCAGCTACAACTCCAATTTTCCAACTCTCCGATAACCCTACCGAAATCATCCCGAGGCCCTCGAGACTTTAACTAAACCTACCAACAAGTCATATACCACTATTCAAACTTATTCAGACCTTCGGAACACTCAAAACAACATCAAAACACTAACTCACCCTCGGATTCAAGCCTAAGGATTTCTAAACTTCCGAATTCTGCAAACGATACAAAAACCTATCAAACCTCATCCGAATGACCGATACAACGGACCTACTCTAATTTTCGGAATTTCACTCCGACCCCGATATCAATTCCTCTACCGACCGGAAAATGCTAAATTTCCAATTTCGCCAATTCAAGCCTAAATCTATCACGGACTTCCAAAATACATTCTGAACACGCTCCTAAGTCCAAAATCACCTAACGAAGCTATCCAAACCATCAGAATTCATATCCGAGACCTTCTACTCATAAGTCAACATCTAGTTGCCTTTTCCAACTTAAGATTCTAAATAAGAGACTAAGTGTCTCATTTCACTCTATGACCACTCTGAACACAGAACAACCAACACGATATGATGAAGTACAGCTGAAAACACATAAAGAAGCAGAAATAAGGAGAGCGGGACTGTAACTCATGAAACGACCAGCTGAGTCGTTACATGAGAATTTTAGTAGAGATAATGATATTAAATTGTGAAGCATTTCATCACAACTAGCAAATTTCTTAATCCAAATGACTAAAAATGCTTTCCATTCACCTAAAAATAACCATGACATTGAGAACTAGTTGTAAATAACAAAAACCTCTTTACCTCACTTTAATTCCAACAAAATACTTATTTATGAGAAAAACTATCCATCCAGGCTTAAACCACAGCAAAATTCCAAACACTGGCATGATTTCAAAGATTCAAAAAAAATACTAAAAGATATGACTAAAGGGACGTATAATGAGCCTCACTTCATGATCATTTTACCCATTTATTATGAAGAAATAATATGATAAATATTTCTAGTTTTAAAAAAAATAAGAAACTAAATAAATAAATATAAAACCCTTTCAAAGAGCTTAGAGCAATTTCCAAAGCACCTAACTAAATCATAGATAAAACTGACGCATAGAACTTTGAGTAAATCAACTTCTATCCATTTTGTGATTTCAAAATATGCAAATCAAAATTTTCACGCTAGTTCCATGTTGTTAACATCATATACTATTATTCTTACTTGATAAACACTTAACAATCACATGCAAATTTCAACAAAGACACAGAACCAAGCATTAGAGTAGAAACAAATATGAACACAACTAAGCTGAACCAAAATTGATGAAAGCTTAACACTATGCAAAATTTCCAAAACAGATGAACCTAACGATTCTAACTCAGCTTTTAATAGTGATTGAGTACCTAAACGTACCAACGCATGGAACCAACACTGGTCTATATCATGTGTAATTCAAATCCCCATCTTAAAATAGATCTTCCAATGCTTGGATTCACAATAGTAACAGCAAATAAACAAAAGAATAGAGAGATGAACCTGAGAAATGTGAATTTCTTCTTAATAGTAGAAAGTAGAAATTCGGCTACAAAGCTTTGAATCGAAAATCCCAGTGAAAAGAAAACAACGACAAATGTCAAATAGGAATCGCGAACCCAGACCGGAAAACTCGAACGGCAATCGACCGCAGTGGAAAATTCGAAACAACCTTGGCTCAATCAGATTCCATATTTGAAACCCAAATCAAATAAGAAAAAGTAGCTCAAATATTTTTGTGTATTTTCTGATTTTTTTCAAAATGGAAACAAAACTCGAACAAGAATCTAAACTCAAAATACTTTTTTTTATATTTTCATTTTTCTGAAATTCAAACTAAACTTAGAAAAATCTGAAAATTGAAAAAAAAATCTAAAACTTTTCTTCTCCCTTCTCCCTTTTTTCCCAAGTATTCTATGCAAAATCCCCCGAAAAATTCCAAAAATGAGAATATTTATAAGAACTCTCGAAGTTTATATTCTTCTCCTCCCAGAAATCCAAAACTTTTTTTCAAAAATCCGAAAACTCCCCACAAAAACGAAATTTACTCTTCTAGACCAAATCTAGACAAATGGAAGGGTAGGATTTAAGGCACCCAAATCTTACGTCTCCCATTGATCCAAAATCCGTCCAAGGGAAATCTAAAATGCATGCGGTGAGGTTGAAGAAGATTCGATTGTCAGAAGTTTGTTAGGCTACATGGCAGAAAGAGATGAGGGGGACTACGTGGGGGAGTGGGCTTGATTTTTTGGCGGGTTTGGTGCAGATTAGCGGGTCTGGCGGCGGCAAGAGGATGGAGAAAGGGGTGGCACGGCTAGGTTAAGGTCTAGGGTTTGTGGAAGATATAAATTTTATATGGTTAGGGGATTTAATATTGACCATTGTATGAGGAGATAATGAATGACTAGGATTTAAGTGGACTGGGTCGGATAGGACAGATGGGTCACGAGCTCAAATGACTGATGGGTCAATTAAGATTGGGCTAAGCTCGTGAGAGTTGGGATGGGTCTATGTCTTGTTGGATTAAAAATCAAAATTCATTAACTAAAGACCCAAATCTTCTTGTACAATAATATAAAGCACTTATAATATGTAAAATCACTCTTAATTAATTAAAATAAACTATTAAAGATAAGACTAAGTATTAAAAAATAAAACTATTTTTGGGTTTTTAAATTTATTTTTTTATAATTAAAATTGAAGATAAAAATAGACTAAAATTCTATTAAAATAAAATCAAATAATATTGAAAATACTAAGAATACTAAAAATAACTTTTAAACTCATACGGGTCAAAAATTACGTGCTTATAGCTGTCCCCCTTTGCTTAGAAACTCGAAGAGTTTTTGACCAAAGAATTAAGTAAGCAACGTAATTGATTTTAACCCAACACTCGTTCAAAAAAAAATAAATATGGATAAAATGACTGTGACCGAGCCCTAGTATTTAAGCTACCTACATATTCTTAACTATAAAAGAATCAGGTCATTTGTAGTTCAGAAGTAGGAAAAATGGAGAAGGGTACCGAGGTGGCGAGTCGAGTGAGGTGCCGTCAAGGTTCCGCTCCGTAGTCCCTGTTCATTACATAAAAATAAAATAAAATAAGATAAAAACTACAAGAAAAACTATATAATCCTATCTACTCTTCTATATTGAATCTTCTCTCGGTCTTGTTGTGAATCAACTCTGAAATGAATACTCTCGTTTTTCAGGTGGGTGTCTGCTACTAATGCTGAAACTTGAAGTCAACTCTAGAATGTAGGGGTGCTCAAAATCGAACAGAAATCGAAAATCGAACCACAAAAGTGGCTTAATGGCTTATTGGTATCGGGTTATCGGATTGACGTGTGGTGAACGGATTGAAATTTTATTATTAACAGCTTATCGGTTTAAGGGTGAATTATTCAATTTTCTTATTGGATAAACCGTTAACATGTTAAGAATTTATATATTTATATATTTTTATCCATATGTATATTAAATGCCCCTTCCACTCATCCACTATTAGAAGTGTTAATTGTTATGTTAGTTAAAGAATGTGTAAACTGCAGAGCCATAAGCTTGGCTGCAATTAAGCTATTTTCGAGGAACTTGCTGCCTTGCTCCTCAGTGTGTGAAGGTTCAAGTATGTTTGTCCATTATTTTTTATGTCTTGTGATATACCAGTATGTTGAAAAAGTTTTAATATACCATGTTGTGCAGCTGTGGTATCACCGTATCACTGTATGTTTTTATCAGTATGTTGTCAAATTAGGCCTTTGTAACACAGAATCAAATAGATAAACTGCCCGATAATAGATAAACCGATACCAATCCGCCCGATATCTTATCGGGTGGCTAGCAGATTAATATATTTAAAGCTAATAACCGATAAGCCAAACTGTTAAGCGTAAATAACCGCTCGATCTGCCCGATAAGCAGCCCTACTAGAATGAATGCCCTTGTTCTCCAGGTGGGTGTCTGCTACTAATATTGAAACTTGAAATCAACTCTGAAATGAATACCCTTGTTTTCCAGGTGGGTGCCTGATATTCACAGCGAAACAGACAAAACAAAGAAAATTTTCTGCCCTAGTTTGTACGAGGAACATTTGTGAGTGTTAGTTGGATCCCGTTATCCAGAAGGGTCTTGAGAGTTTAAAAGCTCCCCATTATCCAGGAGGGTCCGAAGACTTAAAACCAAATCCCATTATCCATGAGGGTCCTAAAACTTAAAACTAAATCTCATTATCCAAGAGGGTCCTAAAAACCTAAAACTAAATCCCATTATCCAGGAGGGTCCTGAAAACTTAAAACTAAATCACATTATCCAGGAGGGTCCTGAAAACTTAAAACTAAATTCCATTATTCAGAAGGGTCCTAAAAACTTGAAAATTAAATCTCATTTTCCAGGAGGGTCCTGAAAACTTGAAAATTAAATCCCATTATCCAGGAGGGTCCTGAAAACTTAAAACTAAATCCAGTTATCCAGGAGGTTTTAAAAACTTAAAATTAAATCCCATTATTCAGGAGGGTCCTGAAAACCTAAAACTAAAGCCCATTATCATGAGGGTCCTGAAAACTTAAAAATTAAATCTCATTATCTGGGAGGATCCTGAAAACCTAAAACTAAATCCCATTATCCAGGAGGGTCCTGTAAATTAGAAAATTAAATCTCATTATCCAAGAGGTCCTGAAAATTTAAAAATTAAATTCCATTATTCAAGAGGTTCTTGAAAATCTAAAACTAAATCCCATTATCTAGGAGGGTCTTGAAAACTTGAAAATTAAATTCCATTATCCAGGAGGGTCCTGTAAATTAGAAAATTAAATCTCATTATCCAAGAGGTCCTGAAAATTTAAAAATTAAATTCCATTATTCAAGAGGTTCTTGAAAATCTAAAACTAAATCCCATTATCTAGGAGGGTCTTGAAAACTTGAAAATTAAATTCCATTATCCAGGAGGGTCCTAAAAATATAAAACTAAATCCCATTATCCATGAGGGTCCTAAAGAGTCGAAAATGAACTTACCTGAACCATGCATTTCTCATGGAGGATTCCTACGGAACGAGCAAAATTTTTTGCCCCTGTTTCAAACAAAGAAAACCTTGTTAGTTTGAAAATATTGTGGTTAGTTTGTGGCATCTTTGCTGAAGGTGTCCGCTTCTGCCACTATCATGCTTCACTCTGATTAGCTGCTTCGGGATAACAAGATTGTTTGACCTTCTGATCGAACCTCGACCACATAAACCTATGAATGACCCAAATCCCTTACCCTCACTTGTTGCATTGCGTTTTCATTCTGACAAATGCTGAGCCTTTGCATTTTCTCAAAATTCATGAATCACTTGATCACCTGAACTTCAGTTATCACCATATTGCTCCTTCTGAATCATGTCATTTGTGATGTTCTCGGTCAAACTTCGCCTTGCACAATCAAGAAGTCGGTAGTAGACTTTGAAGTCCTTTCTTGCTTGCTTTAAAAAACTGACTTGAAAGAGACGTAAAGAAACAGAGTTATTTTGTATTTTTATTTTGAGGTTCGTAAAGAAACAAAATAATTTTGTATTTTTATTTAATAGGATCGAACCTCAAAGTAAGGCTGGATACATATCCTTAAAAGGAATCAGGTCGAACGTAGTTCTAACACAAAGTTATTTTGTTTTTTTGTTTGTTTTTTTTTCTTTCTTTATTTTTTTCCTTTTTCTTTTATTTTCTATTTTCGAACTCTACTTCTGATCCAAAAGAGGGGTATGAAAGAAAATAAATAAGGATCAAAAGGGATAACAAAGGATAAAAGTGTTTGGGTAGAAAAATAAAATGCATTCGTCATTCCAACTTTGAATATGCCAAATACATAAAATGCAATTGAAGATAAGAAAAGAAATCATACATAACATCTCTTGACTACATCAGAATTGATATCCATATCCACACATCTACCTTCTATGTCTATTAAATACAAAGCATAATTGGGCAACACTTTTGTCACAATGAACGACCTCTGCCAGTTTGGGGGGAACTTACCTTTAGCTTCAGCATGATGTGGAATGATGTGCTTCAATACCAGCTAGCCCACTTCAATTTTCCGGGGACGTACCTTCTTGTTATATGCTCTTGCCATTCTCTTCTGATACAATTGACCATGACACATCGCTGCCAATCTTTTCTTATCAATCAAACGCAATTGCTCTAGCGGGTTTTGACCCACTCATCGTCATCAATTTCAGCTTCCATAATGATCCGAAGGGATGGAATCTTAACTTCCGCATGTATAACTGCCTCAGTTTCATATACCAGCAAATAAGGAGCTGCACCTACTGAAGTATGAATAGTAGTGCGATAACCCAGTAAAGCAAAAGGCAACTTTTCATGTCGTTGCCTAGAACCTTGCACCATCTTACGAAGTATCTTCTTTATGTTCTTGTTAGCAGCCTCAACAGCTCCATTTTCCTTGGGATGATACGGAATTGAGTTTCGATACATAATCTTGAATTGTTGGCATACCTCTTTCACCAAATGACCCCGTTGAGATTAACAACATTGTATGTGATGATTACCTTGGGAATTTTGAACCAGCAAATGATATTTGAATGAACAAAATCTACCACTGCCTTCTTGGTCACGGACTTGAAATTTATACCTTTGACCCACTTGGTAAAGTAATCAACGGCCACCAGAATAAACCTATGTCCATTTGACGCTTCTGGCTCAATTGGTCCGATAACATCTATGCCCCAAGCAATAAAGGGTCAAGGCGAAGATATTATGTGAAACTCAGCTGGCAGAGAATGAATCAAATCACTGTGCACCTAGCATTGATGGCACTTGCAAACAAAGCTGATGCAATCTCGTTCCATGGTGAGCCAATAATAACCTGCTCGGAGTATTTTCTTTGCCAAGACATACCCGTTCATATGTGGCTCGCAAACTCCAGAATGTACTTCGGTCATGCTAGTTGAAGCTTCTTTAGCACCCACGCACCTTAGTAGTCAAGTTCGGAGTCCTCATATACAAGATTCCCTCGCTTAAGAAAAATCTACTAGCTAGGCACCGAATAATTCTCTTTTGATCACCCGTGGCATAGATCGGATATACCCTGGACTTGATGTATTCCTTAATATCATGGAATTGTTCACCATCAAGTTCTTCTTCAATCACATTACAATAAGCATGTGGATCACGAACTTGGATATGCAAAGGGTCAACGTAAGTCTTATCCGGATGGTGTAGCATTGACGCTAGAGTAGCCAAAGCATCAACAATATCATTATGACTCTGAGGAATGTGTCTAAACTATACTAACATGGATCATCGACAAAAATCATGCAGACACTATCGATACGGTATGAGCTTCAGGTCTCGAGTTTCCCATTCTCCCTGAATC